CCCCAAAACCCCAAAACCCCAAAACCCCTCACTTAAAAAAATAATGATAATGAGACGTAATTCAAAATATATTCACTAGTTTATTTAGCTTTAAACTCATTAAAATGTTTATTAGTTGCTTCAGCTTAGGTTCTTACTACTCTTTAGGGTAGTAAGCTAATTAATTTAATGAAACCATCACTATTTCTAGGCGATGGCATCATCATTGAATTTAAATCTTTTATTGTTTCTCATGACAGTAGAGGGGAATAAAAACTAAGTAGCTGAGAATTTCCTCTTCTTAGTTGCATTGTTGATAACAATAGGGTGTAGAGCTTTACGTAATCCAACTGTAAATGATCCTGATTTAGAGCTAGACTTGATTAATTATGGTTGCTCAAGAGATTATAGCATCTTTTCATCACTAAAACTGCTACCAAGATTAAGCTTGTTGGAAAATTCTGATGGAGATATGTTGGGCTTTATAGAAATTTCTGAGATAACTTTATTCTCTACTTTGATTTGTGAGTGTCCTTCAGGTTTCTGGAACAACTCCTTTTTGTTTTCAGAAATTTAAGTAGATTACTTTCTAGCTGAAGTTTATGAATCTTTCAATATTTTCTTAATTTCTTCTTTTTTGCTGTTGAAGCTAGTGTTTAGGCTCTCATTTAAATTCTTGCTTTATTGCTCTTTGTTATGAGCTTTCATCGTTTACCCCAGTAGAGTTTTTAGATAAATACTGTCATTCAGCTTTTCTTCTTATGGCTATGGGTATCTTTCCTGTGGTTAAGTTATTTTGACTTTTGGCTCAACTTTAGCTATTGTTTAAGCCGCTTTAATAATATGGCTTTAAGGAGCATATTACATGATTTCTGGCAATTTGCTCTCTTCTTTAAACACTTATTTCAATTCAGCCTTTTTTACTTCACATTTTTAATTTTCTTTTGGCTACTATTTGATCTAATCTTATTTCTTTTTTTCAGTATTTTTGGCATTATTAGTTTTATCGTCTATCTTTACTTCTACTTTTTTGTTAGGCATTATCGAGGAGTATCTCTTCATCTCTAAAACATCGTTTTTATTGTCTTCTGAGTGATGATTAGAATCTTTTTCACTCGAGTTACTTGAAGTTGCTGAGGTTGAATGACTTAGCATAGCTGAATCCATCAAATGCTTTTTCATATCTTTAATTGAATTTGTGTTGATTCTCTTTTGATAGAATAGGATGTAGGCATTATTCTATCGCAAAGCTTCCTATTCATTACTAGTAGATACTTAATCGTCGTTTAATTCTCTCCATTTGTCTGAAGATCCCTTGCAATAGCTATAGTAATGACCTCCTCTTGAAGTTCCTATGTGGACTACAACTCCAAAAAGATCATAGACCTCTGCTCCTTAGTTTTGAGGCTATTAATTTTGATTGTTAGGATTATTCATTCCTCTGTCAACAATTCTATCAACATTATTACTCATGAATTAATTTAGTGAGAACGTGCTTGGATAGTTCACCTTGGTTTATATTTTTTAGCCAGTATTTGTAAATCTCTTAAAATGAACTATAAGGATTCTTGGACTGACTTCTATTGAAAATCTCTTTTTTGCATCACACTTCTTTTTGCAGCTACTGCAAGAGTATTGATTTCTTCCAGTGAGATTTTCACTCTTGCAAAATTCGTTCAAGCATTATTCAAAATTAATGGGTCCACCTCCATTACCTCCTCCTCCATAGTAGCTTCTTTGATTTTATTATCTTGGGAAATCTAAACTAAGAGTAATCAAGTCTTCAAAGGTATTAGACTTGTATCCACAACCTTGGCAATGTACCTAACTCCTACTCTTACCACCAAATATTTTTAAAATTGGAGTCTAAAACTAGTTTTTATAAACCATAGTCCTGTCAGGTTTTGCACCGTTAAAGCAACCGTTAATAAAACTTTCCATAAAGAGAAGAAGAAATTCATGAGCATCTTCTTAACTACCAAGTCTATATCGAGACCAGATTTTCTTTAAGTTAGTTAAGATCTTCATTGGATCAGTCTTACCATTCTATTTATGCTATTTCAAGTACTCACAATAATAGCAAAGAAAGCATATTTCTTTCTTGTTACAAGTTTATTAATGCTAATTACTAAGTATGAAGTTAGTAAATGGTTTTGTATGAGTGATGCACTACATGACAGAGTTAAAGAAACATGTATTTCCTTTATTTCTAATTCCAATACTTGGATTTTTTAGTATTACATCCTAAACCATAAGCTTATCAGCTTCTATATCAGACATTTTGTTACTAAAGGACAATCGACTTTAGTTAGATGATAGGGATTTGTGAGAATTAGACATTTTGAAGTATTATTTTTTGCTAATTAGAACTAGGCTTTCGTTAAACCTTAAACCTTATTTAATTACAATTATTGATTAAATAATAGTAAATACAAGCATTAATTTTCTAAATTAAAATATGATTTAAGCTAGCAAACTCAAAATGATTTATGGCGAAGAAATCGCCTATAAAGTCATCAATTCAAAGATTCTAGTTATAGGAGCAGGAGGTATTGGATGTGAATTAGTGAAAACTTTATCTGTTACTGGGTTCACATAAATTACTATTGTAATATCGATAATATAATTTACATTAATAGATTGACTTGGACACTATTGATATCAGTAACCTTAATAGACAATTTCTCTTTAGAAGAGAACACGTTGATATGTCTAAAGCAAAAGTATTGAAAGAATAAATTGAAAAGCAAAATCCCAATATCAAGATTGAAGCTCATATCGGAAGAATTTAGGTATAATTCTTGCGTGTTTTATTAACATATAGGAAAAAAGATTTAACTTCAAATTTTTTAGCAGATTTGATCTTGTAATCAATGCTTTAGATAATATTGAGGCAAGAAACTATGTTAATTAGATCTGCTACAATCTTGATATTCCATTGATAGAAGCGGGTACTAACGGATATGTTGCAACTGTAAGTGCTAGATAATGATGATTTATAATTAATTAGTGCATTTCTATTGCAAAAAATAAAACTCCTTGCTACCAGTGTGTTGATAAGCCCAAGGATTAAAGTTTTCCTGTGTGTACGATCAGATAAAAACCAGAAAAATTAATTCATTGCATTGTTTGGGCTAAAGCATTATTTGACGGTTTATTCGGATCTCGAGATCAAAGCGACCATATTATTGATTATTTGCCGGAGCCTATATAAGATTAAAGCGCAGATTTCTTTGATTATGCTAAGTAAGTCTTCTCTAAGCTGTTCGATGAAGAGGTTAAAAATTAGATTCAAGCTGTAAAGTCGAAACTAATGGCTTAAACTCTGAATCCAGATGAAAAATAAAGTGAGGAATCTTTTCTTAAAAAGATTAATGTTTTGGAATTCTCGAATCATGAAGAAAGTATATAGAGAGATTTGACTGACAGAGAATACAAACTCAATAAACCTGAATTAAATGATGAAAATAACCTTACAATATTAACCCTTCAGGAATAAATATATACCTTTGTCCAAAGTATACTAAAAATATATCAAGAGAGATTTGATAAAATAGGATAAATGACTTTCGATAAGGATGATGATAGTATTATAGATTTGGTATCTTCTGCAACAAATTTAAGAGCTTATAATTTTTCTGTTGCTATGGAGGTATGTAAATAAAATCTTAACTTTATTATAGAGTAAATTCAAAATTAAGGAAATGGCAGGGAAAATAATACCAGCTATTTCAAGTTCAAATGCACTAGTTGCATCATTACAAGTCTTTGAAGCAATTAAAATATTGGCTGGATAGTTTGAAAATTTATAGGGAATTTATTATCGTAGATTAGATACCAAGAAACTATAGTCATTTAAAAGAATTAATGATCCTAAAAACCCCAATGTAATTATAATGATTTAATTAAATATAATAGTGCGATACCTGCTCCAATGATACAAAATATATTTATTATGTTGACATAAAAGATTTCAAAACAACAACTCTTAAGTAGCTAATTGATGAAGTTTTAATAAGAGATATTCAACTAGGTGATGAGTTTTAGATGGCTTTCGACACATTTTAATACGAATAATGTAAGTAAAATGATATAGCTTAATATTTGACATAGTCTCTGATTTGGATGAAGACGAGGAGATAATGAATAAAAAGAAATTAATAAGAACTTTATCGGAATTGAACGTAACTGATAATTCTATCATCCAAGTTTAAGGGGATTTTAAATCTTAAACTGAAAACAATCAGTCTTCTGTTATCTATGTATTGCTTTGCGAGTGTCCAGAATAAGAGGAAACACTTAAAACTGTACTACTAAAAAAAGGAATTAATGTAAGCCCCGATTTTAATTAATGAGTTTAATTAGTAAAACAAGCCTAAAGTTTCTTAATAAAAAACTTAGTAGCCTCTATTCGACAATACCATGGAGATAAGTGAAGGTGAAGTAGAAATACAGAATGACTAAAAATTCACTGAGGCTATAATAAAGCCACAAACAATAATTGGAAAAAGGCTTCATTCAGAAATTGAAATTGGCAATTAAGTAGATATCGATGAAACTAAAAATTCTGATTCTAACAAAAGAGCTAAGATAGATGAATAAATAGAAGTTTGAAAAAATTCCCCTTTGTCATAAGTGTATAAATTAATTAGTATCTTATTTAATATTTAAGCAAATTATTTTAACTAGTACTCTAATAACTTAATATCTAATTCATATAATTAAATTATAGTCCATTTAAGCTATAATAATTTTCATTGGTATCCATAATGTCTTAAAATAAACACAATAGGGGATATTAGACTAAGAACATGGGCTTAGCCTTTGGTCATATTTGTAAGTTCCGTGTAAAAAATTTGGATCTATATATGGCTATAATAAGATGTTAAGACTTACAGGAATGTCAGAGAGTTTCTGGATGAACCATAGCTTTTTATTACTTATCATTTAAGCAGCATCTACCTTTGGATCTTCCTTTTTCTTTTGGTATATGATTAGTGCCTATTCCACAAGATCCATGAATAGAAAGATAATCGAGCAGAAAGTTCCTACTTGTGATACTATATAATTTTCATGAGGGTTTCTCCATTTATATACTTCAATCTACATTTAAAAATAAAGATACACTAATAATGGTACCTTTGCTAAATAGAGCCAATTATCAGAAATTGAGGAGATAAAATCAATTAGGTTCTTTATTATTTTAAATATCGGTATGCCCTCTATAAAATGGATTTAAAAATATATTTTTTACATTCTTCTCCTCTTTTGTATTTATAAAAGTACTAAATAACTTCAATAAAGTTCAACATTCTCAAAGCCTAAAAATCTTATCTTAGATCACATTTATTCAAGGTAAAGATTACCATTCTTATCGATGAGACATTGGCTCCCAGCTTTTTCAGCCTCAGTGTATAGTCAGTCAAATCATCATCCTTAAAATGCTAGATGAATTTGATCCCATATTGCTTCAATCTGTGTAGTGCATTGTATTCCGATGAAATGACAGCAATATATTGCCATATTTTCAAAATCTTCCTAAAATAAATCATTTTAACCCTTAGACTTATTACTGATAATTATTAATGACTTGAAAGAGATCCAAAGTCTTTTTCCACAAGACCTCTCTTCTTTTTCAGTTTGATTCTTTTAATCTCTACTCTTAATCTTATTCTGAAGCACAAAATGTCTAATTTAATCCAACCATTATTTCAGCAACTTAGATTTAATTTAATAATTTATTCGATAAAATTATAAGATCTATTAATAGTAAGCGGGGTTTTGGGGTTTTGGGGAGATCGGAAGAGCGTC